CTGAATTTAGTTAATTCATGACTACATTTCTGTAGGCACCAGACTGGGAGCAGAATATCACTGGTGCCTGTGACATTCCTGGTCCCATTCTGGGATCTCTTGAGTATCTACATTTCCCAGGTGCTGGGACCACCAGGTGAAGCTGAGGCAAGATGCCTGGGAACTAAAAGGACAGTGGCCATTGGGAGGAAACCACTGAGGAAGCTGGGCCCTTGCTCTGCAGGTGATGGGGTTTCCCACCCTGAATTTTCCACTCTGACTTCTCTGTTGAATCATTTTCCATGTTCCTGAACCTCCCCAGGCTCTATGTGTCCTGATATGTCAAGTATTTGTGATCGGGTGGTGTTGTTTCCAAAGGTCCAGAAAATGGTTGAGGAGGGAAGATAGAGAAAAATCTTACGTTTTTCCTTGTGTCAATGTAAATACCTAGCTCTTATCACAATATATATATATATGTTTATAATATACACACAGACATACACAAGACACACACACACATTATCCTGGAGCTAAAGATGACTAACTGTAGCCTGAGAATTCTGATTTAGGCTCCTCCATACACCATGCTCCAAATCAGAAATCAGTAATGGCTACATTTTAAAAATAGATTTATTACATATACGTTTATGTGTGGGGTGGTATTTTGCCTGCATGTGTGTGCCCACAGAGTCCAGAGAAGGCATCAGATCCTTAGGAACTGAAGTTATAAATGGTTGTGAGCTGCCATGTGGGTTCTGGGAACTGAACTCAGCAAGAACAGCCAATGCTCTTAAAGGCAGTGCCATCTCTCCAACCTTTTTATGAAACTTTTTAATAATAAACGAAGAAAGAAAAATCATAGATCAGGGTACTTTAAAGTGAACTGGGGGGAATATCAAGTGAGCGGGAAGCAGCAACGGTAGGAAGCCTCTGCTATAGGCTCCCGGTCCTATCTGATGACATTTTTAGCCTTTGAGTCAGGGAAGGCCAGGGGTCTGTTTTCCCCAGAAGAATTTTAATTGATAGTCACACACCAAGGAGGCTAACAGATTATCAAGGGAGTTAAAGATAGGCTAAGGTGACGTTGCTGCCTGCAACATTCCAACTCCCTCCAATCACGGGAGTTTTGATCAGTGATTTGAAGTCAGTCTTGGAGAATGCTTACCGTAAATGTAACTGCCTAGAAGTGGCCACTGGGCCCACCGTTCTTCCCTGCCGCTTGCCGACTTTGTGTTCATTGTTCTCCTCCATGATGATAGTACCATGGAGAAAGCCCCAGTGTGGTAGGCGGATGCTGATGTTTTGAGGGTATTAACAGTTAACAATTTTGGTCTTTATGTGGTAGATAAGGTGGCCACACATTTGCCTAGGTTAAGATGTGGTCCTGCTCTTGTCTCCCCTTTACCCAATCATGGCTTTTAAATATTCAGGATCTTGGAGATTCACACTGGGCTCTAGGAGCCCTCCCCGGGTTCAACATGTCTATACTATGGCATTGTGAGCCATAGTCTCCCCTCTCTGTGATTCAGTATCATTATTTACAAAATGATTCTTATGGGATGTGCATGCCTCCCTTTCCCCTTTCTGCTTTCCCTTGTGCCTTCCTATCCCTACCTGTAATTCCTTTAAAGAGATTGGCACAAGAGCAAACAGAACAAAACCAACTTCTTCGGCAGGCCAGACATCAACAGCCAGAGTTTAAAGATTGCATCCTTCAGTTAGTTCCAAAAGGCAGTTTTGGATTTTTTCCAATGATGTCACTTCCTGTAAACACATCCCTTCCTGGTATCAAGTGCCCAAGGCCCACTCCAGGAATTTGAAGAAACATAGCAGCCAAGAACGAGGGCCAGGGCCGGACACCAGGTGCAGCTGCTCTGAGTAGAGGCAGCTGTCACTGTTCCTGGGAACAGCCTGGAGAAAATTGACGTAGGCAGCATCGGGCAAACTGAAGCATGAGAAATGAGAGAGAGGCTTTGAGAACTGCTGCTGGCTGCTAAGAGACCCACGTATGCCTCCTTCTCCCATTTGTTTCCTGTGCATCTTCCCCCATCCTCTGATTTCACAAGTGCTGACCTTCCTCTGTTGGTTTATTACAAAGTAATAAAGTATTTTTATTTTATATAATATTTTATATAATACTTTATTAATAAAGTATTAATCAAAGTAGCTTGTGGATAGAAGTGGGGTCCACAAAACAAGGTCTGTGCCTTGTTTCCCAGTAATCTGGGAGAGCGACTTAGGATGGACACACACATGGTTACAGGCAGCCAGTTGGGATGGTTGTGTGTCTGGATGTGTTTGGTGAGGCTCGGGGCTGCCTGGAGGCTCTGGATAATGATCCTCAGGCTGCAGCCTCGGTTACGTCATCCGGAGGGCTGCTGTGGAACACAGAGCATTCGCACCTTGGAGCAGTGCGTGGTGGAGTGCCTGAGCCTGAGAATCTGAGGGTTGTTGGTCATGGAAGGATACTATCCTAGGAGGAGGAACAGGGAGAGAGATGGAACCCAGATTCCTTCATGGACTTCGGAAAAATACTTTCCTTGTATAATAACCAAGTCCTGGTCTAGAGGCACAACTCTGGGATCCCAAACATCTCAAGTTTAGTCTTGTCTCAGAGATAGCAAACTGTTGAAATGGTGGAAAAGGCTTGTTGTTATCATTTTGGCCCATCCAGGGTACTAGTAGGAGCTGTAGGGATTAATTGCCAGCAAGCGGGGCAGGAGCCTGAGATCTGCACAATTATGTGACCTGGATCAGACAGTGATCTTGTTGCTTGGCATCTCAGAGCTGGTTCTGCAAGGTGGACCTGGAAAGGTCGTATTGCTTGAAGGGACAGTCTTACTCCCCTGAAATGATTGTTCCTGCTTGGGGTCATGGAGTGGTCTGTAAGATTCTGTGTTTCTGGAATCTAAGGCGGCTACACGGTTAGTCTCTGGCTAGAGACTTTCAGGCACTTTGAGAGCAGAATCCTGTCCAGGATGTTGTGAAAGAGGACCGTGACATGTCAGTCTTATCTACGCCTTCATGCTTGAAGGGATGAGATAGCTGAGGTAGCATTGTATTTAGACTGATATACCTTCAGTGATGGACAGGCCTACCTGCAGAGTTAGGCAGGTCTGCACCAATGATTTAAAACAAGGCAGACAGATAACAGAATGAAGAGACAGGTTCCAGGCTTTTATCCTGCTTTTAGTTTCCTTTTGAGATGGCGTTTTCCAGCACAAGCAGTTTCTAAATGCTGGAAGTATTAAGAAACTCTGCGCGTCGTCTCCTCAAATGAGATTTATTGGAAGGACAATTGGTGACTCCCACCAAGTGTCTAGTCAGAAGAGCCAACGTGAGACTACAAAGAAGGTGAACTAGGATGGTCTCTCACCTGTGTGTGACACACCTGACATTGTCCCATGCCTGACTCCTGGTTCCAGAACAGACTAACTGGCTACGATGGAGCCATAAGCCTAAACCACTTGAAGGGCTCAATCCTACCCACAAGCCCATGGGAATGTGTCAGATGATTCCTGTGTCTATAGCTTTTGCAGAGTCAGGCTTTTGTCAGGCTTTTGACCTGCATTTAAATAGGACAAAGGCCCAGAGAGACTCTCAACAGTCAAGGTGACTTGGTGGCTATTGGTGTCATTCACAATGCTAGACTCACAAACTGAGCAGAGGAGAAATGTCTGGCTCACTTCAGTAGAGTCACTCCATGGGGATGACCAAAGGTGACAACAGCTGCCTCTCCATTGCACAGTACGTCTATTTAGTCTATTTAGTCTTATCTCTACCTTTTTTTTTCTTTAGTGGACTTGAGGACAGCGGGTCCCCAACCTCAGTGACTCAGCCTCCGGGCACAGGGGCATTCCCTTGGCTGTGATCACAGGTATAGCACGGAGGTCAACAGGATCAGTGACATTCTCCTTACCTGGCAGCCTCTGCCACTTTCCAAGAGGGCTCCCAGGAGGGAACCAATGTGGTCCTGACTACCAGTTGTTTTCACAAGACCCCCCTGAGGCATCTGCACCCCAAAGACAAAGACATGACTGAACTGTAGGATTGGTTATGGAAAACCTATAGGGCCACTGCTGAGAAATTAGTCCTTGGGGCCTTGTAGATGGTTCTCATGCTTCATATTTAACGTCCCGTCTGGAAGAGAAAGGTGTGTCCAGGGCAACCAAGGTCAGGCCCACTTGACTTGTGTGTGTGCATGTGGGACGTTGGAGCCCTCTATAGAATGTGTAACCCCCCCAAAGCACCAAGCACCACAACCTTCACAGAGAACTCTGTCAGACAGCACACGCCTGCCTGCCAACACCTCTCTCAAAGTTCTCCTCAGGGGGCTGTGCTGTTATTCCCATTCAACTCCATGTCTAGAGTTTCTACCACGCACTCTTTTCTTGAGACTCCCAGCCTTAGAAAGTTAGCCGCCTTGAATAAAGGCGCCATCCAAGAATACGTTTGGATTGAGTGTCACCTGAACACAACTCTTCGTTTTCACCAGCCTCTGCAAAGACTATGGTAATAATTTTGTTGCAGCCTACAGAATGACAACTCTGAGTTTCTCGTGCCATTGAGATGAAGAGTTGTGAGCTCCCCTTCACCACGGTTGGGTTATTCTTGGCGTCATCAGGTGTCATAGTGGGGGAAAAGGAGTTGGTTCTTTGATAGAATATAGAAGCATATCAGCTAGTCATTTTCCAGAACATATATCAACTCAAGCAGTCAGCCCAGAGACACAGATGTAGGCGAATCTAGACTCTGATTTTATTTCTCTTAGTTTACCCAATCAGGAGGTAAGAAATGGCCACCTAGAAGTGTCCTTTCTTTCCCTGCAGGCTGTTGCAGGGTCTTGCTTATCTAGAACCCTTCACTTCGAAGCCCTTTCAGCCTGTGGAGTCTGGGCCACAATGCTCTGCGACTTTAGTCTTAGAAGGAGCTTTGCCTCATAGCATGGCCCAAGAGTAGCAGACCCAGGACTCCAGGATGGTGCAGTAAATGTGTGTGTGTGTCCTTGTGGTTTGTTGCAGAGCTGGTGATGCTTCTGGAGTGGTGGTCAGGCACGGAGTGCACCATCTACACCGACCCAAAGGCCTCCCCCCACTACGGGAAGGAAAACGCCATCGTGGTTCTCAATCACAAGTTTGAGATTGACTTTCTGTGCGGCTGGAGTCTGGCTGAGCGCCTTGGGATCCTGGGGGTAAGTGGGACATGCCTTCACCTTTCACACTTTCCTCTGCCTCTGCCGTTCACTTTGCTGTTTGTTCCGAGTCTCTCAGAACTTCTAGAATTAACGGGGTTTGTTGTTGTTGTTTGTATTTAGGGGGCAGAGGGGACATAGGATCTTGCTGTAGAGCTGGGCTGTTCTAAAATTTGTCTTGCTACCTACTCTCCCAGAGCCAGGATTAAAGGCACAAGCTACCATGCCCAACGTTGGCAGTGTGTTTTATTTTATTGGGGTGGTGGGGTGGTGGGTGGTGATAGTGTGAAATGCTCTCAGAAGCTGTTTCTATTGGCTATTTTTCACCTTGCTGTGACAAAACACCGGACAAGAGCAGCTTGAAGGAGGTAAAGGCTGATTGTGGCTAGCCGGAGGGCAGAGCCCATCCTGGTGGGGAAGACTGGCAGCGAGAGCTTAAGGCAGCCAGTCAGTCCATGTCCTCTGCAGTCAAGAAGCAGAACGATGAATGCTTTTGTTTAGTTTGCTCTTACCTATTTATTTATTTATTTATTTATTTATTTATTTATTTATTTATCCCTGCAATTCATTCCAGGGCCCTGGGCCACGGAGTGGCGCTACCCACAGTAAAGGTGGGTCACTCTAACTCAGCGCAGTCTAGATAACCTCCCACAAGTGTGCCTGGAAGCATGAGTCTAGAGCAGTAGTTTCCAACCTGTGGGTCATGACCCCTTTGGGGGTCAAGTGACCCTTCCACAGGAGTCGCCTAAGACCATCACAGTTATGAAGTAATAATGAAAATACTTTTATGGTTGGGGGTCACCACGACATGAGCAACTGTATTGAAGGGTCGCAGCATTAGGAGGGTTGAGGGCCCCTGCAGTGGAGCCAGTCAGGTTGACAACATTAACCATCACGATGCTTCTAGTCGTAGCTTAGAATCGGGATTAACATCTTATATGCTTTAAGTAGGTTTAACAACTGTGATTATTTTTAATCCTTACAGAAGCATTTGTGAGTGGATATACTATCATTCCTTTAAAAAAAATACCCCCCAAAAAAGACCAAAAAACCAAAACCCTCAATTAGAGTTTCCGTAGTCAGGGCCACCCAACTGTAATTGGATTTGGACTGGAACTTGTCTAGTTTGGCCCTAGTTCCTATCCTTAATTGCCTTAGCCTAAAAGCAGAATTCACCCAACTTTGAATCGCCTCAGGCTTAAGAATGTTGAATCTCTGAGTGTCAAAATTTCAAGAGCAGAATTTGGAATTATTCCTAAATTCTGCTTCCCTCAAATTAGTTTGACTTCTTGTGTGCAGCTTTCTTGCTTTTATGCCTGGGCCTCTTCAGTCAGCTTTCATCATCCTTAACAGTGTGTCATGCTTGAGCCTGTAGCATATTAAAGACTCAGTGTCACCAACGGCCTTCAGAGAGTGCAATGGAACAAATGGCCCCAGGGTGGAAAATGCTCCAGAGGTTTTCATGAGAACTTAGAGGTGAAGTTTTGCATTTGGAATGATGGTCCACAGATAGGCAGGGGGCTGCTCATGGCACACGTGGTTTTGGTAGCTTATGTACATAGGACCATGATGTTCTGAGTACAGAACTGTGACTGTGGAGTATGGGAGGGACTAGAGAATTGTGGCTCTGCTTCCTTCAAGAGGTGAAGAACCTTCTGTCAACAGCATCAGTCAACAGCATCTCTTTTATTTTTCCATTTGTTTCATTTTAGTGACTAGTGATGTTTTCAGAACAAAAATAAAAGTTCTAGTACAGAGGTTCCCGCTCTATGCCCCATCATGGACATATTCCAAGGCATGCCAAGGAAAACTGGCTCTGTGGGTAATATCAGATCTTACATGTGCTGTGTGATGGATTTTTGGTTTTTGGTGTTGTGTGTGTGTGCATGTGTGTTCCGACCTAAGACTCCAATTTGCTGATAAGGATGGCGAGGGGTGAATAATAATTTTAACAGAGCAGTTTTTGTCATGATCTTCAGTAGCAGAGTATTTGAACTTTATAAACTTTACATGTGGCTTTGGAATGTTCCATTTACCATCTCGAGACCACATCGCCCCTGGGTACCTGAAGCCATGGGTGAGGTCAGATCTTGTGTTTGGAGGCAGCTGGGGATCTCCTGGATGTTCCAGGTGGCTTTAGTGGCTTTTCTATTTGGAATGTGTTGGCTTTTCCATAAGTAAGGAGTCCCTGTGGTAGGGGGCTGTGAGGCCCTGTTGGCTTCCTGCCCTACCCAGGGAAGTGGTATAACCCTGAACCCCACATCTTACATACTGTGCTGGCTTGGATAAGAATGGCCCCCATAGGCCCTAATAGATTTGCACGCTTGGTCACCAGGGAGCAGCAGCATTAGGAGGTGTGTCCTTGTTGGAGCAAGTGTGTCACTAGGAATGGGCTTTCAAGTGTTCAAGCCAAGTCCAGTGTCCACCACTCTTTCTGCTACTTGCCGATCCAGATGTAGAAATGTCAGCTTCCTGTCCAGCACCATGTCTGCCTGTGTGCCTCCATGCTTCTGCCATGACAGTAATGGCCTAAACCTCTAAATGTAAGCCAGCCCCATTTAAATGTTTTCCTTTATAAGAGTTGCCATGGTCATGGTGTCTCTCCACAGCCATAGACTACTGACTAAGACCCTTACTTATCTGTACTTCTGAGTAAACTCCACAGCCCCAGTTACTGTCCAGTTTGCAAGGAAGCAACGGGTGAGTTCGATTCCAAAGCCTCCCCTTTCCTTGGAAGAAGCAGGGTCAGAGTTGGAGCCCTGTTCTGGGAACTTGAAAACACAGGCCGCCTGCTAGCAGAACCAACTTCATGGATAACTGTAGCACTCCTTATGAGGAGCAGGAGTCACTGGTACCTTTATGAGGTCGGAGATGGGGCTACAGGACACTGAAGTTCAGAGAAGCTTGCACATGGCCCAGAATCCAGGGAGAGGCCTGTGGCTAAGCGTCCACAGCCAGGGGGAAGGAGGCAGACATTCAAGAGAAAGCGAATGATGCAATGCACATTGAGAAGTGACACAGAAAGGGACTTGGGGCCAGAGGAGTGACCCTGGGCCAGACAGGGAACCCATGAGAAGAACATGGATCTAGAACTAGAGAATGGGCCCAGGGCTGGAGAAAGATCTAGGCCTGGAGGGCATACAAGGTCCAGACCTTCATGAAGCAGAGACACTGTCTCAGCAGTCTGGGGTTTCCCCAAAGGCTTTGAGCCCTGGGAAGGCTTTCCAGCTCTGAGTGCTGGGTAAGACACAGATGTGCAGAAGCAGAACACGGCCCTTCCTGCCAGCCACAGACTTCAGATCCAGACTGTGGCTTATTAGGTGAATATTAGATGCAGAGGTTTTCATTTTTTATCATTTTTAAACCTGGCCAGCCTAGGTTGGAAGTGAATGGGTAATGTACCGGGTTTGGACACTCCCACTGGTGTGGTGGTAGCTGGAGCTTAGGCATTGGGGAGACCCCACCAAGAGGTTCAGCCAGCAGGTTTTGAATCTTAAGCCAGGGCAGGCAGTATCCCCTAAAGAAGCAAGGAGAGAGGAGGCGAGTCACCTGCCCCTTCTCTCCCAACACCAGAGAAGTAGCCAGCACCATCATTACACAGACTTCAAGGCTTTGGGAGAAGAGGAGGAGAAGGAAGATGAGTGGAGGAGGAAGAAAAGGAAAAGTGGAAGGAAGAGGCGGTAGAAGGGAGAGTGGGAGGAAGATGATGATGATGATAAGGGCTGGCCATCACTGCTGGATGGGAGCAGGGGTCAAAGGCCATACATGAAGTCTCTCAGACTTTTTCCTCTCTGACCTTTTCCTCTCAGGGCCGAGTGTGACCTAGGGATAGCTAGGGAGTATGCCACCTCGGGGCACAATGAACCAAAAGCTTCAAGTCCTATTTGCTTACCGCTTTGCCTCAGTGAAGCAGGAATGTGCCAAGGTCAAGACTGGAGTCCCAGGGCGGTCCCAGGCCTAGTACTCCATCATTGATGTGCTAACCTGCTGCCATTCTCAGTGCTCATCTGCCACCCAGAGCGTGGCAGGCAGGCTAACTCTGAGGCCAGCTGGGAGGTTTTGCTTCAGAGCCTTAATGAAGCTGTGTGTCTTAGTCATCTGTGGCAGCTTGTGGTCTCCACAGTGAGCAGGGTAAAGCAGGGGCATGCAGACTATTGACTGCCTGCTTTGCTGGCAAGGCAGGCACCAATCGGCCAGGCTTCTAGCAGGGAGCTGGCAAGGCTCTGGTCACGTGCTTGCCAGAGTGATGGTCTCAACTGAAAGTTTGGCATGTACTGGCTAGCCTCCAAGCTTAGCCACTGGCATATTGTCCATGCCTCAATCCCCAACACATGGGCCTGTTGGAGGTTTTCCCTGGATGCGGTAGTAGCCCCTTCTCCCAGGGTATATGCAGTGCCAAAGAGAGCGGGCACAAGCACCCAGGGCCAACAAAAGCCACAGCATTGTGTGGTGGAACCTTCTGTGAGATTCCATTTGAGAGGGGTGAACTCGGAGCACAGCCCACATCCAGGGAAACCTCTACGTCATGGGACCATCTCAGAGGCCACCCACCATGGCATTTTGTTTGAGACCCTCACTTCCGCCTCTCTGTGAATATCACTCAGCTAATTTAAGGAAGCCTGCCCCTCACCCCAACAGGTTAGAATTTGTTATATTTCTCTGTGTAAAGAACAGGGAAAAGAGAAGAATTGGGATTCCTTTTCAAGTTAATTTTTTTCAGACAATATATTTTATCATGTTTTTTTTTTCTCTCTCTCCCAGCTCCTTCCCACCTTCCTACCTACTAACTTTATGTTCTTTCCCTGTCTCTCTCTCTCTAAAAAAATAATCAAAACAAATGGTTATTATCCTAGGGTTTGAGGTTGTTGCCTCTTCTGATGGTGGGCTCAGTCATGCAGCAGATGCTTGCCTCTTCCTGGCCACCAGCCACCAGCTAGGGGAGAGGGGCCTAGCACCTCCTGCTTATCTTTGACCTCTCTGATGAGCTCTGAGTACACCTATTGAAAATGGGCCCTGATAATTCATTTCTTACAACATCTTAGCCAAGATTAATTAGCACCCTATCTCCAGATTTTGGCAAGCCCCACCGTGACAGCCGGAGTGGACAGATGTGCCACCTCAGGCCCTGACCGTTCGTTTACTGAGCCGGGTGGGGTAGGGGGGTAGAAGGACCTGGTGTTACACAGGTAAGGAACCCAAGTAAATGGTCCCTCTAAGGTGACCAAGTGAGTCCTGGGTAGAGAAAGCCCCAGGCAGCTCACAGAAGCACAGCCTTTGACCCCCAAAGTCCAGTCCCAGGCTAGGTGTGGCAGGGCCTCCTCTTTTATGGAACCAACTCCTCCCGGCAAGCCAGTTAATGTATCCTGTACGAGCCTGGAGCGAGCCAGCCAGAGATTAGGCTGACCAGCAGGACTGGCTACTCCCTCTTCTCTAAACCTCCACAGCCAGGGACACCTGCTCAGAACAGCTCTGCTCCGCACTAACTACCCTCACAAACCTCCAGCCATGCCCGCCCAGGGCCCCACACACCTGCCACTTGAACTCCTTCAGTTGGCCACACCACCCAGGACACCTGTCAGAGCAAGGCATCCCCTTATCTCCTGCCTGTAAGGAGTTCTGTGTGTGTCTGCCTGTTTACACTCACCACACCCCCATTCTCTCTCAGCTCATCTTCCCAGACACTCTGGCCTAAGGCCATTCTAGGAATATCTGGGCCAGCCTTTCAGAAAAGTTAAGGGGGTGGGGTGATGTGGGGTGGGGGTGGGAGGGTGGTGAAGACAGGAACTTTTATCTGTTTTCTTCTGGCCACCACAACTCCACAGAGAAGATCTGGGTTGACAGACCCCCTTGCTGGTTTCAGCACACTTCTTGGCCACCAAACACCCCTCCTCTCCTCACTACACTTTGCACACCTGTCAATTCTAGAAAAGTCTGGGGACTTTTGCCAAGGGGAGGAAGTCACTGGGTTGAGGAGACCGTTATTGGGTGCTGAAGGACCTTGCACAATGGGCTGGGTTTTGATGAACGATACTCGGTTATTACCAGCCTGAGGGAGAGAAATTCTTAGAGAGTGCTTTGTTTCACATTTGGTCTGTGCATTTCCCCGGTGGCTGTGACTAATTGTGAACAGGCTTCATTTTGTTTGGACAGGCTCTTGGGACTTTCTGGTAGGAAGCCATCCACAGCATTTCACAGCATTCCCGTGTGTGAGGCCCTGGAAAGCTAGAGCAGGGCCAGCACCGTAACAAAGAAATGGCCTCTATTTCTCAAACTTTCGATGCCCACTGCCACTCCCAGTTCATCATTTTTTAAGCTCTGCTCTCCTCCTCCATCCTCCCCCCCCCCCCACCCCCAGCTTCCTTGTGCACTTCCCTCTCACAGAAGGCCAGTTGCTTAATCTGTGCTCAGGGGAAGGGACCAATCAAATCTCCAGTGTGCCACTACTGTTTGTCTCTAAACTTTGCCTACCTTCACGTTCACAGGAAGCCCTGCCCACCTTTGTGTCCCCAGCACTGGGACAATCCCTGGCCTAAAGGGGGTCCTTGCATGGACTCGTAAGTTTGAGAGTAACATTTCCAGGAGATAAATTCTCATGTCATGAGTGGGAACCAAGGCTGAACTGTTGGTTGCCTTGCTCATGCTCTGTTGAGATCAGCTAGACCTGACCCCACGGTGGGCAGGATCCCATCAGACTTGCTACTTGTTTTCAGTTGGTACGCAAGGAACAAGAAGACTGAAGTGTGTCCTTTTGACCTGCTTCCTTTTAACAAACATCTCATTCATCCATTTCAAAGTTTCACTTAAATGACCTAATATATTTATTTTTAATTGAAATTTTAAAAGAAACTTTAAGAACAAAATGATGAGTGACAAGTGATAGGTATTCTCCGCTGATGAAATGAATGAGCCAATTCAAGCCAAATTAAAGTACAGAAAAACAGGTTTACTGGGACAGCTCTCAGGCGCGGTCACTGGATAGTCAAAGGAGGGAGGTGGTCAGAGAAGTAGCCATGCAGACTGGGAGACAGAAAAGCGGAGGTCGGGGGAGGGGGTGAGAGAGAAAGCGTGCAGGGAAAAAGAAAGAGAACCAAAACGTCTGGGTTATATGCTGAAGAGCCTCTGGGGGATAGGAAGCCCAGCTGTAGCCTGGAAAGTTCAGGCAGGGACGGAGGGATGCTGGGAGAACCTGGAGGTCAGGTCCAATTTGGTTGTTAAATCGGCACCTCAGCCACTTGAATCCTAACAACAAGCTCATGACATCACTAAACTTCAGAAATTAGCAGTTTTTAATTGGATTTATTTGTAGTGTGTGTGTGTGGGTAATGCACAAGGATTCCATTCTCTCTTTCCCTGCGTGGGTCTGGGAGTTCTAACTCAGGCCGCCAAGCATCTTTTCCTGCTTAGAAATCTTGTCAGCTTGAATTTTTATATATTTAGTGGAAATAACCAACCATGGCTCAACCCAAGAACTAACTCATAAACCTTCAGGAGTGGTTTCATCTTTGAAACCTAGTAAGCTATTAGTGTAAACACAGCCTTGAGCAGGAACCATCCTGCTGAGTGACCTCAGCCCTGAGCAGATTTCTACCAGACCCTAGGGGTTAGAGGACAGGAAACATGCTGGCCATTTGTCTTAACCTGCAAGCCAGGCGATGGTTTGCATCTTCCATTTGGCAGGCTGCTGTCCTGGACCTAGAAGGGGTCTCATTTGCAGTGTGGTAGTGAGGTGAGTTAAAAGTCACCAAATTTGAGGGTTCAGGTGCTCGGAGCCCCGATGCTATTTAAAGCACTTCTTTCTATGGCTGTCTGGTCACGAGCTGAGCTGTCTTAGCTGGAGATGCTAAATTCATGCTTGGAGAATGGCTGTGTTCCCTGAGAGGTGGGTGCTATCCTTCTTGGCTGGGTAGGACACCCATGGTAACATTCTCAACCTTCATCCCCCCCATCCCCCAGCCTTTACATCCCCCATTCCTTTCTCCCATCTCCATGAACTTTCCAGTTGTAGGATGTATGGTCATCTAAAAACCTGGCTAAGGAAGATACTTCAGCACCTGGTGGGTATAGGTTACCCTTAGTAATTTTAGGCTTTCCTAGACATATTTACGTCTTACTGTCTTGAGAGTTTCCAGAATGTCAGGCATAAATGAGTTAACTTGTATCTTAGCCTAGTGCACCCCTCCCCAACTAACTATCCATCTTCTATTTAGCATAACATGAGATTTTAATATGGAGTGAATATTAGTGGCTGCAAATTAATGGTTGACTAATCTGATTTGTAGTTGGCCAGCCAGAGCGAGTGCTTCAGCTCTGTGGACCACATCGTCTCTCTGACTGATCTTTAGCCCATGGTAGCAGCTGTGTCGCCCCTACATTCAGGTGAATGCTGGCCCTTGTGCCAAAAAAAAACTGCATTGACACAGACTGGTCCTTGGGCTCTGCTTTGTGGCCTTAAACTGCACTATTGGGTATTACATTACCTGATGTATAGTATGCGCTGTAGTCAATGAATGGCTTTACTGTGGGATTAAAGTGATGCTTGGTGATAGAAAAACGAGATGGGAATACAGACCCTTGAGTCATCACCTCTGGTTGAACCCCTAGATCCCACAATCCACCAGGTACATACACACACACAGAGAGAGAGAGAAATATGAATCCTGCAAGGTAAAAGTAATTTTTCATCTCTCTGACCTCTTGCCCCATTAGATCGCTAGTTCCCCATCCCACCCCTGGTGCCCACAAAGTGTGTCCATGGGATAGTTGCTGGGAGGGCAGCTCCAGTTGCTCTGGCCTGAGGTGTTGGCCTATTTCCAGTTTCAGAGATGAGTGGCGGAGACGAGTAAGAACATCCATTTGACCTAAGTTGATCTCCCAGCCTCCCCTGCTTCCATGCCAGCTATGGAGCCCCTCAAACTCTGCTGGCCTTGCCTGTAAGAACTCAGTGGCTTTGCTGATGGGTTGATCGGCGTTATACAGACTTACTAGACAGAGCTTCAGGATGAACTTGGTGAACACACACATGCCAATCATCTAGGAAGGCTATGATCCCTTATACTTTTAGTTGATAGCTGGCACTTTCACAGACCCCTATCCATGGAGTGTCCTCCTCCAGTGATGAGTATGACCTTGACCTCAGGTCAAAGAATGCAGTGGGAAGGGCTCCAAAATCAAAGATTTGCAGCTTTTGTTTTGACAGGCCACTCCTTTCCCCCCTAAGATCTCCTAAGGTGCAAGGTAACTTCTGTCTCCTTCACAGACACCCTGAGGTTCTTCCTCTATTTCAGAACTCGAAAGTCCTGGCCAAGAAAGAACTGGCTTATGTCCCCATCATTGGCTGGATGTGGTACTTCGTGGAAATGATCTTCTGCACGCGCAAGTGGGAACAAGATCGGCAGACAGTCGCCAAGAGCCTGACGCACCTCCGGGACTACCCAGAGAAGTATCTGGTGTGTAGGCTAGGGGGCAGTGTGCTGTCTGGCTCCTGGGGAACTAAATTCGTCACCACAGGAACATGTGTGGACTCTGTGTAATGTGAGGACACTTTGGGACTGACCTGGGGTCAGGTGTGACTATGAACCTCTTTGGGACCTGTGGCCTCTGGATGAGCATGGGGTTGTGTGACTGTGGGATCCTGTGTGACCAGCGTCCTTTGCTTTCCAGTTCCTGATTCACTGCGAGGGCACACGGTTCACGGAGAAGAAGCACCAGATCAGCATGCAGGTGGCCAAAGCCAAGGGGCTGCCCAGCCTCAAGCACCACCTGCTGCCACGTACCAAGGGCTTTGCCATCACCGTGAAGTGCTTGCGAGATGTAGGTAAGGATGTTGGCGAAACAGGGGGTTTTCGAGGCTAGGTGGAACCTGGGCCAAGAGGAAGGTGCCAGTCTGGCTGGGCCCCTCGAACTTCTGCATCCCAGTGAATACTTCCCTCTGCTGGTCAGTGGCGTCATTGCAGCGTGGCCTGATCTCAGAGCTGCAGAGTCCTTGAGGCCAATTCTGGCTTGTCTGATGCTGTCAACCATCTGCAAATGACCTGACCTGTATACTATAGAGCCTCAAGCCACTATAGATTAAAAGCCCCTGGCGTCTTGCCATAACTTGCCCCCATTTCCTTTTTAACCCTCCTGTTCAGTTCAAAATGTTTTCTTGTTCTTCTGTATAAACCCTCTCACATCCCTAATCCCTGGTCCTTGGGCTGGACAGGACTTGACATAGCTTCAAGTGTGAAGGCACCCAGAGATGGCCAGGCCTTCCTAGAACTTCATATGCTAGGCACGCCAAGAAAATGCTTTGTCCCGCAGGCCCAAGCTGGCCCTATTCTGTTGCCAGAGGCAGGTCAGATGTGGCTTCTGAATCCATGCTACTAGCTTCTATAGCCTTGTCATCTTAGCCCCATGTCAAAGATGTCGTCAGGGCACCAAGGACAAGAAGTTACATATCTTCTGGGCTAGTGCCCACTGGTAGGCAATAAAGCCCACCAGTGACAGGGAGAGTGGTGGGTTGTTGAGAACACTGCCTCTGGGCACTCTTCTGTAAGACAGCATGGGGACCTTCTCCCATCAACAAAGACAGTGGACCTACCTACCTGTGGAGGGGGGGAATCAGGCATCAGGGGAAGGAAAATGGATGGTGATTTTATAACAGCTGAATCCTTTCTTCATATGATCCCCTCCCCCGCTACTTGTACTAGCAGTAAGCACATTCGTGTAAAGCTTTCAGCACAGGCTCACGATCATATCATTGTGAGTACAGTGGGCGTGACCAGCAGCTGTGACTGGCATCTATCACCCCAGCCACTGTGATGAGGTGACTCGTGAGTCCACTCTTTAGAACACCTAGGTTTGGAAGATTGAGTGATGGGTCTAAGCAAACTGCCCACTTCGAGGAAGAAGTGGTAGTGGCTACCACGCTCATCCACACTCTCAGGCTCCTCCCCTTTTTCTCCTTCCTCTGCTGCCTACCACAGTAAAGAGAGGCCATTTTCCCGAATTCTATTCACTTGCTTCTTTGACATTAAATCACCCATTGAGGACTCCTTGAGCCTCGCCAGGTCCCAGGCAGGGCTCCAGAAGCAAGCTTGGATGAAATGTAGAATATGCTGACAGGATAACTTACCATTGAATAGAACCATTAACACACAAGCTACCTTTCCCCTCCAGGGTTTAGATGTCATATCCTGGCTTGGTGGCTGCTCTGTTGGGGTGGGTGGGGGAGCACAAAAATGCTCATAGAAAGGGTTACAATGGGGTTGGAGAGATAGTTTAGTGAGCTTGCAGAAGACTGGAATTCAGTTTCTATCACTATTCTCTGGCACCTCACAACTGCCTATAAATCCAGCAACAGGGGATCGGATGCCCTCTTCTGGTCTCATGTGCATGTACACACACAGACAAGCATTCACATAGTTAAAAATAAATCTTTTCTAAAAAAGAAAATGGTATTTGATAATTTTACATTTAAAAAATAATAGTTCTATAACAGACTCATCCATTGAATGAATCTAATTCCTCTTCTACCCCTATTTAATCAACGATCAGCGTTTGCAACTATGCGAAGCTCTGATTATTATCGCCACCATCATCAGTATAGATCTGATAGTCATCGCTGCTTCAAAGCCCACGGACCACAGCAGTTACCGTTTCTATGACTCACTTTTTGATCACAAGAGATGACACATGTTCTATCTAGAGCAAGTGACCAATCTAGGGAAACCTGAGGAAGAGATCATTGCCACGTGTGTCATTGGTAGACGGTTTATGGTGTGCTATGTCTTCCAGTGTGTGCGACTATCAAACAGAACTGGCCTCACCTGCTATGTATTGCCTTGTGTTTGTCTTGTCTTATAGTCCCAGCTGTATATGACTGTACACTCAATTTCAGAAACAATGAAAATCCAACACTGCTGGGAGTCTTAAATGGAAAGAAATATCATGCTGATTGCTATGTTAGGTAAGTTGGCCCTGGTTCCTTCCTAGCAAAGGGAGGGCTTGTTTCTGAGTGCTAACTAACAAGGAGGCTGCCTTCCCAAAGTTTCTGGTTAGCATCTTGATTGAAGTCTGCCTCCCATTCAACTTCCAGTCTTTTATTTATATTATTGACTTACACGATGTACCTAACTCTTGATCTCCAGCATGTCACCAAGACTAGTTGAATCACAATGGGAAGATGCAGCAGACAGGAAGCCACAGGGTGATTTATGACGTACTCTTAGAATCCAATCTGAGTTGGGTCAGGTGGCACTGGTGTCCTCTGCTGTAGGTCATCCTTGAGAGCTGTCAAGAGGCCCTAAAATGTCCACACAGAAGTCAAATGGTATAGGCCCTTTGGATGCCAAATCCTAGCACAACATGATGAAAACCCAATGGCTAAGCACTCCGCCATCCCACTCAAACTGTTCAAATACACAAATGCTTTTGTGGCCTGACAGCCCATGTTAACTCCCTGGAATGCGTCCAGCTCTTCCACAAAATAAGGAAGAAGCAGAGGATTTACTTTATTAGTTTCCTTTTCTGATGATGCTGGCCCAGGCTGCCATATTGCTCAGTATATGGCGGACATAAAGGCGCCATCATCACCCGATAAGACCGACACTCCCTCCACAACATCCACCACCACCAGAGACAGAGTGGGTCCTTCCTGGAGTTCCTTTGACACTTGGCAAAGAGCTCCACTCAGCTGGACCCTGGTAGGGTACAAGATAGGTTGTTTGACCCTCACAGGGGCAGGGATGGGGGATTTTCTTAGTAACTGCAGTTCTTTGGAGCATATGTAGGAATTGGAATAGAATACACAGGCAACCATGATCCTTTCAAGTTCACCCACCAAAGCCAGCAAGTGTTCATGGCCCCTGAGGAAGGGTCTGCAGCTACCTCACATACTTGTCCGTGTGCAGTAACCCACTTAAGGGGACGACTGGGACATTCTCCAGTATATACCACAATGCCATGTACAGTATTAACACATCTGGGACACTACTGTCCAATACATGATTAAAAAAGAGTAGGTCTGTGGAGTCTCCAGCTATGCAAGTGAAGAAATGCTTTGCAAGGCCTTGCTAACCGTTTTACTGAGGCATATTTAATGACCTCATTTGCAATCAGGTCACAAAGAAGAAAGAAAAAGTGTCAATTTCATGGAAACATGTAGGGACCAAAAAGGTCAAGGAAAGCTTGCAGGGATTTTTAATATCAGGAAGAATTTACTGATGGAGACTACTGCCCCACAAGGAAGCCATCAACCTAACAGAGGCAAAATGAAATCCCAGATTCTTCTCTGAGTCCCTATTGATGTGATGGGCTAATCTCTCTTTAAAAAGTCTATCCTTACTAAGATATTTCTGGGTACACTGGGGTGTGAAATGTCCCATGGCAAACTGTGACAAATCCACTTGTTCATGGACCAAAGCAGTTGAGCTTGAGATCCCAAGAGCCAGTAGGCTGAGATCATAGGGACCAGAAAACCTGGAAGTTACTTCCTGTTTAAGTAAAAACAGGAAGTTACTTCCTGTTTTAAGATGGGCTCTTTGCTAATACATGAGTCCTGCCAACCTTTGCCAGTCCCAGCCTGCAGCCAGTCAGGGACATAGTAACTCAGAGGTCCCTATTCTGTCCAGATGCCCCGCTTTCTCATATGTGTTGCGGCAGGGGGTGAGGGCTGAGCCTCTGCCTCAATGTAGGTGTGCCCCAGCGGAGACCTGGGGCAGTATTGTGTGAAGTAGTCCGCCCATTCCTGCTGCTCCTTGGCTGAAGAGCGAGCGAGCGAGCGTGTTGCCCCACATGCATGGGTTCTGCTGTTGCTGGACGGCACAAGGAAAACGAGGCAGCACTGTCCTCTTGGGCAGAAGCCAGATGATGCCCACTGCTGGCATCTCTGTCATTGATTCTGCGCGGCCACGGCTACATTTGGGGATTTCCACCCATGGACTGCCCCCTCGCCCCCTCCACATGGTTTAGTCTGCATAGGCAAAGGGCCCACGAAGCCAAAACTGTCCCTCAGAAATGTGGCCTGGGACCTCGGTGTGGTTCTTTCTCTGCAAGCTCTTCTCTGCTCTTGCAGGAGAATCCCCATGGAAGGCATCCCAGAGGATGAGGACAAATGCTCGGCCTGGCTACACAAGCTCTACCAGGAGAAGGTGGGTGCACTGGGGTCAAGGTGGGTGGACCTATGGGATTTAGAGTCCAAGATGCCACTCCGAAGGGTGGGCACCGGGAGCCAGGTCTTGGTGCCCCTAATGATCTACATGTCAAGCTGTGATAGAACATAGCAACACACATTGCTAGGTGGCCTCACAGGTAGTAAAACCATCATGTGTGTGCAGTGGACCAAGAGAAGGTAATGGCTGTTCCGTGCCGTCCAAAGTTTAAGTGACAATCACTGAACTTTCAGTTTCAAGTGAGCAAGTTTTTTTTAACAGGCAGCAAGCAAAAGGAAGGGAATAGCAAGACGTAGAAAGACCAACAGCAAACATCCTCAGTTGGGGACTTAAGAGCTTCCAGGAGGAAACAATCACCTGAATGGCAGTCACGCTGGAGTTCTCAACTGAGCTTTCTGCCCATGGATAAGCTTCGGGCTTCCTCTTCCCGTTCACGCATTTTTATCCCATGGGCAAACAACTGTCATTTCTGTTGGAAATGGTTCATTTTCCAGATGTTCTCAGGGGCTCGATGTTTTTCATTCTCTTAGCTGCTTGCTCTTTTCCTTTCTCCCTGTCACAGAGTCAGAGGCCAGCCATCCCCAGCACAGTTATGGAGGACACTTGAAATAACAAGCTCAGTGAGATGAGAGCCTCCTTGTTCCCAGAGACCCCTTCAACAAGGTTAAACAGTACATGACTACTTACCGATACAATCTATCACAGTGGTCTGGCCACCCCGGACCACTCCTTTTCATGCAGCTGGTCTCTCGGGCGCATTTCCCAATGGGAGAGCTCACTTTAGTAATAGACGTAGACTTTACTGCTCCTGGGCAGACTATTTGGTGCCCATGTCACTTCAAAGTGTGACTCAAGAAGTCATCCCTGAAGGGTCACCATAGCTTTCCTGGCCCAGCTCCCCAGCTTGTTCTTCCTCTGGGCACAGCCTTGCTTTTTCACAGGCTCCTCAGAACATAATCCTCACTGCCCTGACTTGACCCCATGGAATTCATCCGAAGCAATAGCTACCACCCGAGCAGTGCCTTGCAGATCCCCAGCCCTTTCTCTTCCAAGCTCCAAGGCTTCAAACCGGCTGATGGGAAGCTGCATCTTGAGAGGTCAGAGTGACAGTGTACAGTGGGTCCTTGGTTGAGTGTGGGTGGAGCTCACGTGGCCTTTCACCTTCTTTTCAACCCAGCCCACTGTCCTGTTGTGCTTCCTCAGTGCCTGGGATATGATGAACATGACTGAGGCTGCCAGCCCCAAGCTTGAGCTCCTTCCTCCTGCACACAGGAAGGCTAGTGGCAGCTGTCTCTCCATTTGACACTGGAGGAAGGGGACACCATGTAACATTGAAAGTCTCCAGTGCCTGCCCACAGAGCACTTTTCATAAAGTTTTGCCAGAGGTCTGGGAAGTACCACGTCGAAGGCAGCATGGTGTCTGAGGCACTTTCTCCTTCCTGTCCCCCCAGGATGCCTTTCAGGAGGAATACTACAGGACAGGGGTCTTCCCAGAGACTCCCTGGGTTCCCCCACGGCGGCCCTGGGCTCTGGTCAACTGGTTGTTCTGGGCGTCGCTGCTGCTCTATCCCTTCTTTCAGTTCCTCATTAGCATGGTCAGCAGTGGTTCCTCGGTGACACTGGCCAGCCTGGTCCTCATCTTCTGTATGGGTGAGTGCAGAGCCAGAGGCTCAGAGCAGAGCCAGCATGTTTGGCAGGTACCAGACTTGTGGGAGTGGGGTGGATGGGGAGTGCTCCTTGCAGGCTGAACAGCACCCTCAAGGGCTAGGCTCCTAGTGCTCCCTGCAGTCTACAGGTGTGCCTGGAGAACTGCGCCGCCAGATGGAGCTGGAATTCCCTGACCCCAGACAGCTGGGGAAGCAACTCTTTAAACACCCCCCCCCCCCCGTCGGCAGATAGCTCTTCTGGCTCTCTCTCTTCTCCAGAGGAAGGCACGACAAAGGTCTTGAGGGTCCTAGTTGCAGGCTCTTTGCCTTAAAAGCAGACAGCTGACCCTCCCTAGGGGACTCCTCTCCAGTAGCCAGCTGATGGGGTTTGAGTGAGGGAGCTTAGAAAGAGCTTTCTTCATTCTTCACAAAGGTTTACTTACCCAGGGGGTCCTCTTACACCAAGCCTGTGTGCACCAGCCAAGGAGACTGGTATGCACGTCCTGAACAAACAGGCTGGCTATTTCTGTGAAACAAAAATACTGTGGTCTCCAGCCAATGCAAGGGGCTTGAGCAGGAAGTGTCTCAGGATGGACTCCCACTTGGTGCTGACAGCCTGGTGCTTGACAGCATCTCTTAAGGATCAAGGCACAACCCACTACGCCCACCTGGGTCCTACATTTCCCCGAACTGCTCTGAGCCAGCACTCCTCCCCTTCCTGAGGCCTCTGGAGCAGAGTCCACATCTCTTACCATTTCCTCTATGTCACTGTCCGTCCTGCTGCTGCTGAGACGCTCCACCCAAGTACCGAAACTGGGACAGGGCTTGTCTCAACTTCCCTAGAAGGCGTCCCAGTAGACACCTCTTTTTGTGCATAGGCTGGCCTCCCTGTCCGCTGCATGGCCTCGAGCAGTTCCTACACAAAGAACGTGATGCTCCAGCTTTGTGCCACACACACTGCAGCTACTCCCCTACCCACTGTAGCATACACAGTGTCTGCAGGCTGTGTGCTCAGTGATTACGAGGGGCCTAGCACACAAGGCGCTCACCAGGCCCCGCCTCCGGACGTACTGCTTACATGGCAGTGTCCAGGTACGCTTCCCACCTTCTGTGACAGCCTCGGCTTTACAGGGGCCAGTGACTTTTGCTCCCTGTCGTCAGCCCGACTAGTGGTGGAGTTTGTGAGGACGCTGTGCCTGCTTCCTCACAACGAAGCCCCACTCCCAAGCCACTGCCTCACAGCCTCCAAAGAACCACCTTTGCCTTGGAAATCGGTGCAGAAAGCAGAGAATTGTGTGAACCCTGAGGACACTATGTGCTGCTTACCCAATTCTGTTTCCCTCTACCGTGCAAGGGTGACCCTCCCCACAGCACAGCCCTGCTCTTTTACTTTTAATGTCATTTTGGCGTGCAGAGGAAGGCCCCGAAGCTGGAGTCAAATGGTACACCAGATTCACTTGCGTTTCGCAGCCACTGTCCTCCTCGGGGCTCCCACTGGCGAGGGCCCCTGGAGTGTGTTGGGACGCTAACTGCTCTTCCCTGCCTCCGCAGCCTCCGTGGGAGTTCGATGGATGATTGGCGTGACGGAAATCGATAAGGGCTCTGCGTATGGCAACAGTGACAACAAACAGAAACACACAGACTGACTTCGGAATGTCACCTCCAAAGGGAACCTTGGGGAACTGTTGGCCTCTGCCTAGCCTTTGTAGCAGGGTTCAGTGATGGAGACAGGGAAGCCTGGCTGGGATGAATGGAAACCACAGCCTCTCAGCGCCTGATGGGAAAAGAAGACGTTCTTAAACCTTTTTTCCCCACCACAACCCCCACCCAACCATGTGAATTAGTGGGTTTGGTTATCTTTCTTTTCAGTTTCGTGTGTGTGTGTGTGTGTGAGAGAGAGAGAGAGAGATGTGGAGGGGAGAATGGGTGCGCCGTTGCGTGTGTACTTGTGACCCTGTGACACAGGGTCTGTGAGGTTGCAGGGAAGGGCGGGGCTGGGGTGGAAGGGAAGGTGTCCATGTCATCCTGTGGTGCTGCGTCTTCTCAGACTCTCGATTGCCAGAGACAGAGTGAAAAGTGCTTTAGGTAAGATCACTAAATTATGCCTCCAAATAAGAAAAAGAATTAAAGTGTTTGTCTGGGTTGTCTGTGGCATGCGTTTACATGAATCTGCTCTCCACTCTGCCCTGGATGTGGTATTCCAGATGGCAGCCACTCGGCAGCTGTACTCCCTGGAGAGAGATGCTGGAGCTTGTGTTAAGTTCATACACTGACTGACCATTTGGGTGTGTACAAGTCTTGTAACAAAATCCTGAACCATCTCCCTGTCGCAAGGGTGTGTTTGGCTCACAGTTCAAGGGTACAGTCCATCTTTCCGGGGGAAGTCATGGCAGCAGGAATGTGAGGAACCTGGTTAAAGCCAGAAAGCAGAAGAGATGAAAGCCGGTACTTGCTCGCTCGCTCGCTCTCTTGCTCAGTTCAGAAACCCCCCCCCCCCAGCCGTGGAATAGTGGAGCCTGGGGCTAAGGTGGGCCTGTCCCTCCATTAGTCAATCAGTCTCATCTAATGACCTGCTCGGGCCCAACCAGAGTCTCGTTCATCTCCCAGCGACCCTAGGTCCTATCAAATTGACAAGCAGCATGCATTAACCACCACAATATCCCAATGCAGTGACGGTACCTGCAAGAGATGTGGGCATGGGAGCCCCGCTGAGCTGAGCAAGGGTGAAGACAAGGGCACTGGTAGACCAACTGAGTGCTCCCTTGAGACACACGGAGGATGGTGTGGAACAGCTTTGGTTTCCCGCTTTTGCTGAAAAGGCATCCACTAGTCTTGAATTTTAAGCTGATTTTTGAAACCAGCTGATTATGAAGACATCAAAAACAGTCACAGGAGTGGGGGAAGCCCTCGAAACAAGGGCAGGGTCATGTACAAGACGACACCATAGTCCTTTTCAGCTTGTCTGTGGGTGCCAAGGAGTCTGGTGCTGTCTAGAACATATCCCACAGGTGAGGTGGGCCCAACCTAGGGCTCTGCTTTCCCCGCTGAGCTTTCGGTTGGCTCCTGTTATAACATGAGAGGGTCCTGCTCTCCTCAGCAGTCTTTGGAGCATAGCTCATGCATAGACATCTGCAGACTGAGTGTAGTCAACAGAGGCCAGATGCAACCAAAGCAAGAGGAGGAAAGGGGCGGTGATGTTCTGAAAGGGATCAGTTATTAACACTGGACAATGTGTCCTGTTAGACAAGAGAAGCCAGCACTGTTTGGACCGATAACCAGGTGGGCAGTTACATGCCACCTGGCACACCTCCCCCACTGGAAAAGCTGGCCAGGGGGTCCACAAAGGCACATCCCGTCCAGACTCACTGCAGCCTCAGATGTCTATGTGCGAGTCAGTAAATGGCAGCCACACATGACTGACCTTGAAGAGCCAAGGGCTGAGCAGAGTTCTAGAGCCCTCTCTGTTTAAGGAACAGCAACGTATTGTCAACACAAATGAACCTCCATTTGCAGAAATCAGACACCACTCTCTGGCTTTTTGTGGGGCAGAATAGAGCATGGAGAGCCTGAGGTCCCACAGGGTACATCTGTCCTGCTGTGAGGCCCAGAGATGCACAGAGAGAAGACTAGACACTGCTGTTCAGAGGACCTTGGGGTTGCAGAGGCCCTGTTTGTGAATATCCCTGCAAGCCTCTCCAGGATCCAAAGGCCACTTTAGCTGGGACCTGAGCTAGCACAGCTTGCCCTCAACTGTGTAGCTTGGTCATTTAAGAATTCAACCTGGCAGTCCAGCCTAATGACCTCCATGCGCCCAGCTGCCCAGCTGTAAAATGGGACTGATGCTCATCTTACAGACTGCTGAAGAGTAGAAAGAGGCTCGCCTTGAGAACAAATCAGGCAAAGGAACTTGAGGCTGCGCCTAAGCTACAGCTTCTCAAAGTACTCAGAAAGAACCAGATGGTGCTAGCAACTCCCACATCTCTTTAGTTTTGACCTGGCCTTTTTAAGAAAGACTAAGTGGGTGATGGATGGTGTTCTGGAATGTCCCCAGAATACAAACGTGGACAAGGAGTGCGAGAGGGACCCCAGCAGCCTGCGCCTCAGCCACTTGACTGGCATGGCCTGGCTCTGTTCGAAGCCCAATCCCTTGCTGACCAGGCATGATGAGCACAGGAGAGCCAAGGCTCACTGGAGTCTACCCCATTAGCTTTTCAGAATTTTGATCTCTCTCCATGTGCTAACACAGGCCTGGACTTCATCTCGACTCCATAATTTCTAAACTGAGCAAACCTTGGGAAGGAACCAGGATGTTGCAAATATTACAGCATGTGCATCTTTCTTTATGCTCACGGGGGTCTGAAAAGAGTCATCACAATATAAACTGCAGTGGTAATTGTTCAGCCCAAACTGGCTGCAGGCAGCTAACTGGTGTGGCCAGTCCAAGGTAGAGCACAGCAGAGTAGGCTCAACACTGGCTTCTGAGCTTGTCCATAAAGATGACAGCATGGATGTAGGTGGCTGCTGGGTCCTTTGGGAGGGTCCAGTCTTCACCAAAGCACTGTGCATTTAACACCTGCCAGAAGGTTAAAGAAATTGGACCCCAGGCTTGGAAAGCCACCTGTAGGACCAGGGCGGTCTGGATGAGTGCCGAGTACTGGCCTGACTTGTATCAATCAGACTCGATGTTTGAAAGGGTAAAAGATGTACTGCTCTGTGTCTGAGGTTACGTGTGAGGCCACAGAGCACTGAGGTAAACACTTTCTAAGTTCAGCATCTCATGAAGTTGAAGGCTGGAGAGGAAAACAGTTGGAGCTTGGTGACAAGTTGGCACTGGCTCCCTTCCTGCCACCTCAGGCTCAGTCACAGAAGAGACTGAGCTGTGATGACAGCTGCTGCCCATCAGGGCATCAGGACCCAGAGACAGTTCAGGCTCTCAGGGGTTCCAAAGTCTATGCTGAAGTGAGCTGGCGCCCCTTCCAAGGTCTGCATACAGCTTGCTGTCCTTCCAGATGCCTGCTGGGATCAATGAGGATGTTCAGCAGTGGCAACTTGGAGCCTCGGACTTCGGCCTTTATTTTATTTTATTTATTATTATTATATTTTTGCCTCTTCCAAGAAATCATGTATGAACTTCAGATTAGTTGCTGGCACATCTGTTGTCGGGGTTCCTCCTCACATACATAAACATCGAGTGTCTGTGAAGATAGCAGAAGTTGTTGCCCATAATGCGGCAACTTTCTAAATCTGCTTTCCCAGACTTCATTGGTAATGGTTTCCTTTTTTATTACAATAAATGAGGCTCCAAACAGATCTGAAGGACGCTTGCTGAGCAGAAGGGTTAAGCTAGCTCTGCAGACATAACCCCTCTGTCCAGAGTCAGACAAGGCAGGCACAGAAGGGGCTCCACCAGCACAGAACCTCAGGCCTTCCTGATGCCCACCAACATGTCCTGTGCGGTGAGCAAGCACACAAGCCCTGCCTAAATCACATCCTCAGCACCGTGCACACCTGGGCTCCTGCTCAAGTGTTTCCTGACCTACAATTTAAACAAAAGTCAAACCATGCTTTTGGGGTTTTGACCTATGCTGCACCAGACACATGATAGAGGAGAATAAAGGCCTGAGGGCATCGTTGAATTGCTGGGCCCCAGACACTCAGTGTCACTCATGGCATCAGTTGCTAGCCAGAAAATTACCTGTTTCGTGACATCAAACTGTTCAAAATTATTACTTTGGTCAAGAACACAGCATATAAAAAAAAAAATGCCACCTAAGCAGTGTTCATCTTTTTAAGAAATCATCTGAGGCTGAGATAGCCTCCCGGGCCTAAGGCTTTGCTGGGTGATCCTCCGAATACTAGCTACAAAAAGAGGGACACAAGCTTTAAAACTCAGCCACAGAATGCCCACATCTTAGCATTCTCCTTCTTAAAGCAACTAGGTTAAAATAATTAAGCTCAGAGTACAAGATACCTAGCTGTCGTGCAGAGGAGAATAAACAATGACTAACCAGGTTCCCCACCTGCTGCAGCCTGGTCCTGGTTAGCATTGAGGCTGTGGGTATGCATTTAGTCATCTAGGACTATGTGAGGAAAGGCTTACACGAGTTAGTTTTAAGATGGTCATACCCCTCAAGCCACAGTAGACAGTTTTGAAATTTCTGGCATCCTTGCTACGCTCAAGATTCATAAGGGGAGTGGATAGATACAGTGAGAGCCATTAAGTGGTAATTCCTCTGACTTCTAAAATGAACCAAATTGTATTCACACTGTTTTCCTTTTCTATATTCCCTGGAGCTGATTTCAGCCAGGTATTTATCAGACCCTCGAGACACCTGGTAGTCCCCAGTGCTATCTGAGGGGCCATTCTACCCAAGGCTTTGCAGGTGATGAGAGAGAGGCTGAGGATACAGTCCAGAGTCTCAGTCATTGTCCAGCTTGGGGGTTACTGACACTCACTATGGGGATGGTCTTTAGGGGAGGAAAGACCTGCAGCAGAAGTGTGAAGAGGATGAACAAGCCTTGAAGATCCCTGTGTCGCAGCACTCTGGGAGGTCAAACAAGGTCACTCAGTATGCGGACGCAGTGGTGCCAGCGCTGAGATGAACAGATGCGCTTCTCAAGCACATTATCAAACCAGCAAGTCCAGCTTTCAGAGTGTGCGGAACAGAGTCCCAGCACAGACAGAGAATGGAATGGCCAGAGCAACCCCTCTCATTCTTTACTGGGAAAAATGGGCTGAAGACAGCAGGTAAAGGCATCTGCCACCAAGAGCCATGCATTCATTCCCTGGGACTCCCGTGCTGGAAGGAAAAAAACAGTTCCCACGAGTTGTCCCCTTACCCGCGCATTGCTGTGCATGTGTGCAGGCACACTGCATGTCCACACAGTCGCCGTTTGCACTGTCCACTGCTTTACAGCTGCCCTCTTGCCATACTGCTGAGCTGAGTAGCTGCCACCAAGACCATGGGACCCATAAACCAAACATTGGCCCCTCTGGACCTCCACGGACAGCACCTGCCATGTGGGTTCTGGGGAGGCTAATGCCAGCAGATGGAAGCTGCCATTTTAATAGGCTTGGTGTCTGTGGTATAATATTTTTTCTTACTGAAAAGTAAAGTACTAACCAACGTAGTTAGTTTGGTAGATTGTTCTTATCACCATTTTGGTCTTCAGTGTCTCGTATACTTACAAATTTCTGAAAGATAGGTGAATTA